TGGAGAAGCCCCCTGCTCCTGTCTCCTGGGGTCGAGCAGAAACAGCTCTAGATGGAACCTTGGACAAGTGGCTTCTCTTCCCAGCTCTGCCCCAACTAACCCAGCTCTGCTGTGTGGCATTAGTTCTGTTACTTCACTTCTCTGGGCCCCAAATGTTTGTTGAGAGGCAAGAGGCTTATACAACACTCCCTTCATTAGCCGAAATTCTTTGATTTGACAAGAATTTGCATGAGAGGAGACAAGGAGCCCAAACTCCCTTCCCTCCGTCTGCAGCGTGTAGAATGCCCGGGCCTCATGCTTCTCTTCCTCCTTAGTACAGACTGTGCTGGCTTTTTCCCGGGCACTGAGGCAAGCTCTCCTGCCGCCAGCGGTTTTGTGCGCTACCCCACGGTGGGAGCGTTCATCTGCATTATTTCCAAAGAGGAGCTGCCGGAGCAACAATGAGACATTTTATGAGAAAGAAGACCTTACACTGGTTTTCATTAAATGTGGCTTGATGGAGGTGAACCGGAAACATCCACTGGAGCAATGGCAGCCTTTCAAAGCCCCCCTGCAGAAACGATAAGCTATAAAAACAAATGGCCCAGCAACAGAACAAAAAACAAGGCTCCAGGAACATTTGCCGGGCTGCAAACATGGCCTGCTGGGCCCTACCCCGCCTCTCAGAGCTGAATGTCCTGGACCTGGCCGATCTAGAGGCTACCACCAGCCAGGGGTGCTTCCCCACCCCAGCACATTCAGCGGTGGTGGGACTGGACAGACATGAGGAATGGGGCAAGTGGGGAGACTGGCCTGGTGTCAGTGGCACCTCTGGGAACGACTGCAATAATAACAGCTAACGTTTACTTGGGAGGCATTGGTGGTTCAGTGGTAGAATTCTTGCCTCTCATGCAGGAGACCTGAGTTCGATTCCCAGCCGGTGCACCTCATGCTTTGCCACCACCCGTCTGTCAGGGGAGGCTTGCGTGTTGCCGTGATGCTGAACAGCGTTTCGTTCCGTTGTGTATGAGGTCGCCATGAGTCAGCGATCAACTCAACAGCAGCGAACAACAATGTCTCCTTTGTGCCAGGTGCTGAAATAAGTCCTCTGCGTGCGGCCTGTTATCTCGCTGACACGCCTATAGATATGTACTCTTTTCATTCCCATTTTACAGAAGAGGAAACAGAGGCTTATAGATGTTGAGAAGTGTCCCCAAGTTCACAGGACTGAGTGAGCAAAACAGGGCTCAAACTCTTGTTCCGAAAGGGTTTCCTAGGCTGTGGTCTTTATGGAAGCAGATCTCCAGGTCTTTCTCTGGCAGAGCCACTGAATGGGTTCGAACTGCCAACCCTTTCAGTTAGCAGCCAAGGGCCTAGCTATTGTGCCAGCAGGGCTCCTTCTGGCAGAATGGAGATAGATGTAAAAAGCTTTGCACAATACCTGGCTACTGGTCCTCACTTCCTGTTCTACCTTCTATCCACCGTTCATTCCTTCAAAGTACTGAGTACCTCTGTGTGTGCCAGAAGCCAGAGAATGCTAAGAAGACCCTAAGGAAGGCTTGCAAACCAGGGTGAGGGGGCACAAGGCTCCTAGATGGGGTTCTCTAACGCCCCTTGGATTCCTCCAGGAACACTGGGGGTGCCCACCTGTCCAGCCCAGCCACACTCTGAATCACACCCCAGAACTCTGTGCTATGCTTCTTACCACCCAGGCACAAGGACCTTGGCCCAGTGGGTCTTACCTTGGCACAGCAAGTGTGAGCACAGCTTGCCCTCCTCTGCTTGGCTTTGCTTCTTTTGATTCCTTTGCCACTCTTTGCAGTGTTTCTGCTCCTTTGACACGTGCAGAAACTCTTTCCAGGAGTGTAGAGATTTGTGGGTACTAAGCACCCCTTGGGCCTGGCAGTCGCCAACAGAAGCAGATTAGCCCTGGAAGCCATGGTGGGGAGGGTGATAAACTGCTCCTCGGATGCTCAATTCTTCCCGAATCCTGAGGCCTGACCCATTTCTCTGAGAAAGCTTTCAACCTGATGCTGTGCACAGCAGCCCGGTGCTGTCTGCAGCTCTGCAGAAATGTAGTAGAATATCAGTATCTGTTATTTGTCCTGGGGCCTCGCTGCTTCTCACCACTGCATCCTCTAGAGCCCCTTCCCAGTGGGGACACATAATTGGATCGACCTCTTGGAATGAGCCCTTTGCTATTTGGAGACTGAATGTGGAAGCTGGAGAGACTGGAGTCAGGGAGCCCTGTTTGGAGGTCATGGCAGGAATTAGGAGAGAGACGTAGCAGTGGCAGTGAGGATAGAGAATAGAGGCCAGTTTCCAGAGATATTATGCAGATAAAAGCAACGGGGCTTGGTGATTAATTAGATGGGAGAGAAGTCTTTTGGAGAAAGCACTCATAGCCAGAAGATGATAACCAGTGATACAAATGAACCTGTAATACAATAGATGAGAAAAGCAGGAGCTATTATATATTATGTGATAATCATATAACAATGACCGCCTCAAAGTATACATCTTTATTAAAGACGAAAATACAAGTCAAATCTCATGTTTAACACTAGCTGTAAGGCCTTGTTCAGGTTATTTAAACTTTCTGGGACATATTTCTTCATCTGTTCAATAGAGATAATAACGTGCCCTGTCTCCTAGGGTTGTTTGAGGATTCGATGAGGTAATACTCTTAGCACATTGCCTGGCACTTAATAGGCACTCAATTCTCAGGGGCCGTTATTGTGATGATTCATATATTGTTGTGTTGAATGATGGTGATTGTTGTACTGTCTTATCCCCACCCTCTTCTGGTAAGGATCTCAGAAGTGGTTCCTGGACTTGACTTTAAGCTAGTCCATATTCTCCTCAATTCTTTAAGGAAGTGAGTATCAAACAAGAAGCCAGCATTTGGCAAACAAGCTGGAATTCAGATTTATCCTAAATGATTCTGATAACTCGTTGCTGTCCAGTAGGTTCCAACTCATGACAACCCCATGTGTTGCAGAGTAGAACTGTTCCATAGGGTTTTCTTGGCTGTGACCTTTTGGAAGTAGATGCCAGGTGCCTCTGGGTGAGTTTTAACCTCTAACCTTTAGTGGAAGGAAAACAGCCGCCCAGGAGGCAATTGATAAAAGGCCCGCCCAGCTGATTGCTACAGGGTGGGAGATGTGGCAGGACATCCTAGGTGGTGAAGAATGGGTCTGTTCACCGCCAGAAGCAAAGGATGGATATGGCAGAAGGGCAGAAAGGGGAGGCAGGGACAAATGGAACATCAGTCACGAATACAAGGCTGTTGTTGAGGCCCCATAAAGCCAGAAGCCAAATGTGTGAGTGGGAGTGGCCTCTTTTCCATCTGCTGAGCACTCGCCCAATCCAAGCAGGGTGGCCTGGGAGCTCAGAAGGTGTATGGCTTAGTAGGGGAAGGAAGCTTGAAGGCTCTAACAGACAGGCTGAAACATGGAGCTTGGAGGACTGAGAGTTAAATTTGATAATGGGAAAAGGGACAGTTCCAGATAAGTTTGGGGGTGCCTAAGGGCTCACATTACTTTCTAAAAAAGCCTGCCCCATCCGTAGCATCTGCTGCCTAGGCAGCCATGTTTAGTCCCATGCTGCTCTGCCCCACCCCGCCCCAGCCAGCACTGATTGGATAAGGGTTGTGCACCCGAACCAATAGCGGCCAACCTTATCACCTGGCTGAAAACCTGAGAATTGACCTTCCAAGAAGGGATGTAATGGGCCAATCAGGTTCTTGTTTTGGAGAGTTTGAACAGAGGAACTCGGAGAGGTAGAGTTGTTTGGCTCTGAGAGGTAAGGCTGCAAGGTTGTCATGGCGACAGAGGTCAGGGCGGCCACGGCCACGGGGTGAGGTGGTGATGAAGCAGAAGACCATCAGCAGAGGGAAGTGGGTGGCGTGCCGTGCAAAGCACACAGGGAAAGCACATCGAGAGAGGGATCCCACGCTGCCCCAGGTCCTGACACTTCTCCAGAGCATACTCGCTGGCGGAATCCCTCCCCAAACTCCTATTTTCTTGATTGAGCTTAAGTGCCTCTTCGAGTCTCACAACCGAGAGAGACATACGGGGTGAGGTTGACCGCAGGCTGCGTCATCTACGTGACCCACCTCCGTGGTCTTCTCCGAGGGAAGGGAAGCTGGAGGGAGGCCAGCCTCAAACTCGCCCAAGGCAGCCAGCCCTTGTTTACAACCGCGCTGGAGCCGCGCTGGGGGGGAGCGCAGCAGTGGCCTGGCCACTCAGTCATCTTTATGAGGCTCCACGTGGGAGCCTTCCCTTTTCATCAGGATGTTTTTCTTGATGTCCAGCCGAAACGTTCCCATTTTTTATTTCTTCCTATTAGTCTAAGCTCTGGCCCTGGATATTACTGGCTGATATAAGCCCTGTCTCCCTGAAGCTCTCGCTCGGCGTTCAGATATTTGACTGCTTACGCGTGGACAGCCCTTTGCTGCCGCTCCCTTCCCAAGCAACTCCTCAACAGCCCCTGTTGTTTTTTCAGCCTTACTCCTCCACTCCCCCCCAGAAACGAGGTCTGGTGGAGTTCAGGGACATATGGAAGGACGGATTAAACACAGCGGGCGCAGGAAGTCAGGAAGGCAGGCGAGGAGAGGGGAGGCTTTTGGGCTTGCAGAGGAAAATGGGAGTAGAAGTTTGAGCAGACAAGGGATCTAGAAAATGATCCCACTGGCCAGAGCCCAGGAGGGATGTCTATCGAGAATTCTCTTCCCTAAGGGGGAGAAGCCAAGAGTGACTATGTATGATTGCGTAGGAAGTTAGAAGCCTTTGTGGGTGGATAAAGGAAGCAATCCCCTCGGCTAGCAGTGGGTTAGGTTTTTGGTTTAGAGGAGGCAGAAAGAAGGTAAATATCTGCCACAGTGGAGTCCGTTAGAAGGCTTGGAAAAGTCTTTGGACATTCACTGTGTTGTCAGGCCAAGAGATGTCCGTCTACTATTAGGTAAGCTGTGGGCCACACAGAACTAGACACATCTTCATTTGTCATGTTTTGATGGAAAAAGTGACTCAGAGCTGCTGTCAGTGTTGTCAGTGGCAAAAGGGAAAACGACGCGAGGGACACTCAGGACTCTTCATTTTTTGCGTGAAAAGAGATCTACACCTTCTTCTTTATTTCTGTTTTTGAGTATTTCACTGTTAGAGTTAAGTCCTTGGAATTCAAATCCTGACTTCACCATATGCAAGCCCTGTAACCGTAGATAAGTGTTTAGGTTTTCTGAGCCTCAATTTCCCCTACTGTAAAATGCATTTTAAAATACTGACCATGCAGGATTACTCTGAGGATTAAAGATGGTGTATGTCAATGCTTTGCACAGCACCTGGAGCATAGTAGGTGCTCAATAAAGGGTAGTTTGGCATAAAAATTGCTGACACTCTTAAAACTCTTCCTAGTCTAACCGCTTATTATCTGTTTGGGACTGAGTTGATTCTGACAGCGTTGACTTGGCGAGTTAGCACATTGACTGGTCTAGTTTCAGCGTTTTGTGAAACTAACTAGGGAAAAATCGTTCTTGCTTGGATTACTCTCTGGAATCTAATGACAGTTCTTACCTGGCTTTTTAGACGACCCATTTCGTGTAGACACTTAGCTGCACAAGTTTTGGATTCTGGGGCTGGTACGTGCTGAGAAATAGCTAATTTTTATGTTGCAGAAGGCAACAAGAAGATTGTGAAAGCTGTTCTTCATGAATCATTAAACTGTCCTGTGTGAACTTCCCTTAGCAGAGATAATCAGATGCACAAGCCAGATAAAAACCGAGAATTGGAATGACCCTTCCTAGCTTTTATTTGCAATGAAATTCAATGGCTTTTCCTCTAAAATCCCCACCATCAGGGCTCTTGTCAGCTGAGATGCAGGGTCCAAACCCCAGCGAGCACCAATAGCGTGACTTGACAGTTTGAGGCCTTTCGTCCAAGCTTTGTTTT